TCCCCATTTTCCAGGGTGTTTTAGTATGCATTCTTAGGATTTTCTCCCCAGTTGGTTCTCCATTTTCACCATTTTTCAAAATGCTGAGAAAACACCATACTTAAAAGGTCACTAAAGCCCACAGTTTTCTAAATCTCATCCATTCTGTTTGTCTACAGCTAACAGGGTTACGTCCATAGACTTGTATTAACTTTCAAACAGCAGTCATAAATACTGAAAATCATTTTAGGTTCAGGTAGGATGCAGAACGGGGACATCTGAATGTAAAGCAACCTTAAGATGGGCTTTAAGAATTTTTGGGAAAAGTAATGGCTGAAGTTCAAGCTGCCCACATTTATTTCAGGTTAATATTTCACAACGCTGTCATTCCAAAATGAAAGTAAACTTTTATATCCACTGGTGCAGGTAGAACGTCAAGTTGGAAAGCTCTTACAGCACCATCATCAATTTCAAGTTTCTGAAATATTTTAGTGATTTATATTGTTACATCTAGTACAAGTTTGGTGAAAAATACTGCTAAATTTCTCATGATCTTAGCAATGTTGAGGCCAGATATTCCAAAAAACCTATTAAACCATGCTTTGACAGCTTATCATATTTTGGCAAACCCTGAATACGTGCACAATAAAGTTACTAAAAGTCTCAGGATTTTTGATGCTTTTGCTTAAAATTTGTACAGTGGAGCAGTTATTACCCATCTCTATGTAACTTTAAAAGAATGCATACAGACTTGTGTGTCATTAGGTTTGTCTTGTTTTACAGCAGAATCACAACCTATTTAGCAACAGTGTATGACAGACACGTGTGATGTTACCGATGACAAAGTGCCATCTAAACCATTTTCACGTCTCAAATTTCCTGGCCGACTTCTGCTTACAACTGATGTCATGTTACCTATTTCACCAAACTCCCTAACGTTATGACAAATACTTGACAACAGAGATTTAAAATGCTGAAGTTCAACACATCTTAGTGAGCATAATGTACTTCAAAGCTCCGTTTAGAAATATTTATAACTTTTAAGGGTTGTAGCAATCCTGTACAGCGCAACTGTGAAATTTAAAGTATTGCGAATTTCATCACAGAGTTGATTCTTAAAATCAATTTGGATTTTGTCATGCATATATTGCTGAGATAAATCTAAGATTATACTATGCAATTAATGGAATATGCTTATAGCTATGTCTGAAATGATCACACAGCACAAGTGAAGCTGCAGATGGAGTGCGGCTATTTTCAGCTACTGCAAAATATGGACAATCTCTCCTGCTACTACAATTTCACGCACAGTTAGCTTCACCTCCATTTCATCCTTCTACGTTTTACACACCAGCAGTACTCTGCATCTGACAGACTGAGGCTTAAAACTTGCAGCTGTCTAATGCAACACTGTTTAAGCAAGCTTCTGAATTAATGTGACAGCGGATACAAAATGTCCACAAGAGAAGAAAATAACCAAAAGGGTTTTTTCCTTCATTTTTCCCACAGTACAATTGTGAAGTAATTAAAATACTTCATTGGACAGGTGTCAGCAGAAGTTAAAGAGCAAGACAAATAATGGGTAACGAGCACCTCACAGCTATTTTCAGCCATGTCAATTCACAGAATACTGGAGCCATAACAAGATGAGGATTAATAAACATTCTTCAAGGATATGAAACAGTTGAAATCCGTAAACATCTCATTTGAAGTCGCAGTGATGCATTCAGCACAAAGTATTTTTAGGACTGGGCATATTTCACAGATCATTTGTGAAAAGCAGCAATTATACATAAAAATTGCCAGACACACATGCTATCCCCTTACCTTTAATTTTAAATTCTCATTTAGAACTTGGACACAAGTCATGCAATAAACTATTTCTTGCCGTCTCTAACATTCTTGCAAGAATTAACTTAAAAACCTGAAGTCTGTCCTGGAATTCTAAGAAGTTTGCAAGCCTGTTTGGAACACAGACTACCAGGATGCTGTGTCACATGATGGGAACAAATATCTGTTCACATAAGGAACAAGCTGGGTCACATACTGGAATCGTGATTCAGAAAAGAAGATTCAAGTACTTTGAGGATGTTCAAGCCTGTATTCATAGCATTAGCAAAACCCAGAGCACCACTGCTCTGGAACTCAGCAACACGTACGGTTGCTCATCAGCAATTCAGACATCTTACATCTAGGTGCAGGTTTTCAGAGCAAGACTAAAAAATTCTTCAAGCAAGAGGGTAGGAAAAACCCCAACTTTTAAAGTTTTTAACATCCACTCCCACTCCACTATCAAATTTGCATTAGATAAAGAATTCTATGTTAACCTGAAAAAAAATGGAGAAAGGGAAAAAATATAGTGAAATGTGGCATTCAGTTTTTCTGTTCTGCACACATATCATAATTAGCAAGAAGCTAAAGCAGTATTATTTACTATGCTATTTACATACTCTAAACTACACTTAATTTTTATGTAAAAGTAAAATCTTCAGATCAATTACAGACACCTATTACCACCAGCACTATGTTAAAATGCAAGTCAATCCAAAATGCGATGATTCCGAATACAATCTGCCAAAATAATATTCGTGGCCAGTTCTCCCAACACTAATTTTCCACAAGCTATTCTTAGAGGGAAGTTACTCAGTACAGCTTTTCAAAAAAATCTTTAAAAATGTATCAGCAATTCCAAAACATACATTTCCAGGCAGTGGTAACAATATAAAAGATTTCCACCTTCTGAAACAGCATTCAAATGAATATTAGAAATGATGCTAGATAATCGAGCACACAGCCATGTTAGAACAATCCAGTATTTCTAAGTGCACACGTAAAGCCTACATTCAAACCTGGATATGAAAATGCATGAGAACACTATCACTCCTCTAATTCAAGCCAATACTTAAAATGCTAGCTACAAATCTCAAGTACCATTTGTATTAAAATTCTTTAAAAATTACTTTAAAAGAAGTAAGAAAAAATTAAATAATAATCAAGACATACATTGAATCTTGCTATAGCAGCGAACTGTTCTCATTTACTACAAAGCACAAGCAGAAAGTACAACTGGGTAAACCACACAAATTTAAAAAAACAACACAGATTAAAAAAATCCCAAGACATTGTATGTTATAAGGGTTTGGTTCCTATGAATATACAACAAATTCTGGTTCCCTGTGAACATTTGTTGAACAAGCCTGACACCCTGTCCAGCCCTATGCTTTTTGTTCTACTACATTCAGCATGACTAAAACAGAAAAAGATTTGAGACTAAAAGTATTTACATTGTAAAGCCCTGACCACCGAATGGTGTTTGATTAGTCTTATACATGAAGTGTCATTATCTACATGCTGAAATGTAGGTCTGATTCAGGATAATCAGAAAAATACCTATTGATTTGAGTTCTGGTGTTTGATCCAACTTTTACTCACGCAATGTTGACAATACACACTATGTTACATCCTTGACTAAATTACTGATAAATTGATAAAGACTGAATTTTTTCCTCACCACCTCCTTCCCACTGACAGAAATGCAAAATAACTCTTATAGTTTATTTTCCCAACAAATGACATAACAAATTATCCCACTACACAAGTTCTTGTGCTACACCTTATGCACGCTGAGGCAAAACTGTAAGAATATTACCTGAACAAATAAAAGCAACCACTCCTTACGTGAGGACAGGAAGCCTTGCTTCCTCTCAGTATCACAACTGTTACTGGTTGTGGTACACAACCACAGCTCAGCTGGAGACCCTTTCCTATTTTTCCATTCCCTTTTAGAACATTTAATTAGATTTTATTCAGAAACTTTTCAGCTTTTGTATGTACATATATGCATAGGTAGGTACATACATGTACGAGCTGGAGCATTTTCCAGAGACAAACTTTCCTTTCTAAGATTTAGAAATTTCTAAGATTTATATTTCTAGCAAAAGTCATAGATATCAAGTCCCCTTAGGACTGTATTGAAATATTAATATATTGACAAAAGAATGATTAGAAAACAGCACAATCTGAAGTCTTATGACTAACTTTAATAGTATCTCAACACTAAGGAACGCTGAATTATTAATTCTCTGCAAACCTCAAACACTTGTTTCTTGGTATTTAATATACTGTACTTAACACTGTAATCAGTGATTTTGTTAAAAAAATATTTTAAAAGTCTGCCTATATTATGCTGAATTTAATTATCAGGAGAAACTTGCTACTTCTCCTCATTAATTTCATGCTGTCAGTTATTTAGCTATCTCTTAGCCATTAAAAATCATTTCAGCATCTCTTCCTCTTGAGATCTCTACTCTCCTGATAACTGATTGGTCTTCAGTGTATTCTAGAGTACTCTCAAACTACAACATATTTGAAAGCCTCTTTTCAAGAGCTCTGTAAAAACTCTTCCTCGCTGATGTACCTCAAGCAAGACAGATATTTACTTACTAGGGAGAAAGGAAACGTTTTGTCTTAGTCTGACTGAAACACAGCATGGGTTCTAAACAAGATCATTCCCAGTATTTCTAGCTGGTAGAACCTAGCTGTTCTCACCGCCGCAAAATGGGAGTTGAGTGGCCCTGCTTCTGTCAGGTCTGTGCCACTTCAGGAACTGACCTGGTGGCTGCACCAGTGTTTTGTTCCTAGGGACTCAAGTGAAGTACCCTGGACACAGCACTGTGTGTCAATGACCAAGCAACAGCTGTGATCAATAACACCAATCCCCTTATCCTCTTTTCTCGCCCTTTCAAATCCCATACATCTTTCAGTTTCAAGAAGCTGGACATAGCACCCATTAGGCACTTCACACTAGAGAAGGGCTGTCACAGAACCAAAGGTCTGCTCATATGGGATGTTATTTTAGAGCAGTACAGCGAGTCTGTAAATCTAGACCCTGCATATATCGGACTATCAAGAAACGTTGCATTTTCCTCTTAAGATTATAAACCAATTTCTCATATTTCCTCATATATCTCATAAACATAATCTGTTAAATTATTACACAAAGGATTAGGTCCAAAACCTACCTTTCTGGTTTCCAACTGCGCTTCTTCTTGGCAGCACTGCCTGCAGAATGGCTCCAACTGATTCAGACTGAACTGACCAAGAAGGTTACAAGAACTGCATAGCAAGTTACTGGAGAAGCCCAGCTCTCTGCAAGCTTCTGACGACAGCTGTGTTCCATATACACTTATCTGAAAATCAATACAGTGTTAAGCTTTAGTATTAAATTAGTTGCTTAAAAGAATGAAGATTGTAAATGCTTTGATTATTAGGAAGAACAACTAAGTTTCTTGTGATCGTTTTACTGTAACGCTCATGATCTGCCCAGAAGCACAAAACACCTTATTTTGAGGAATGGGTTTAAACTAGTAATGAATTCTAGCAACTTGCAAGATGAATATTCCAAGGTATCAGACCTGCCAAAATTAATTTATATACACTTCTGACAACTCTACTGTTTTCCTATTGCCAGTTCCAAATTGAGGAAAAAAGCTCATCATCATGAATCAGCCGACACACGCATGGCTACAGCTCTCTAAACCTGCTCTTTCAAATTTCAATAACATTCATATCACCAAAAACACGCTTGGAAAATAAGTGTAACAGCTAAACTTGGGAAAAGCACAACCAGCCAGTGACGAAATGGACTAAACTGCTCAACAAGGCATACAAGGAGGATTTTAATTTCATATTTGCATTCATGTTACAGGATAATCACATACTGAAAGTGGAAGTGTAGATATAAACATCGATTTGGTAGCAATACATTTGAATAGGCAACTTAATTACATGGGCTCTATGTAAAGCAGCAAACCCAAGTTTTACCAACTATCCCAGCACATAAATGATATTTGGGTTTTGTTTTCCCACCCTACTCAGGGATTTGTCACACTATCTTAAAACCCTTCCTTCCAGCTGCATGCTGGGGAGGGAGGGAACACAACACGACAGGAAGTGAGAGAGGAGATTAAGAAAGGAGACGGTTTTGCAAGATGCTTCTCAGTACAGGTGAAAGCCCTTGGCCAAACCCACACCATCTAAAACACCAACAAAATCAGCAAGCATCTCTGTGTTCAGAGAAGAGTGAAGTGATACCAGCAAACTGGACTAGCTGATAACACACCCAGGGTCAGAAGAATTATGCTAGGCCAAACAATAAAACACAGAAGAAAAACTAAGTTTTTCCTTCAGCAAACCAGATGTGGGATTCACCCACCATTCAATATGTACAGCTGTACTGGGTTTGTGTGGCAGGGCTTTGGTAGCAGGGGTAGGCGGGCTACAGGGGTGGCTCCTGTAAGAAGCTGCTAGAAGCTTCCAAGTCAGATCCGCCTCTGGCCAAGGCCAAGCTAATCAGTGATGGCGGCAGTGCCTCTATGATAACATATTTAGGAGGAGGAAAATGGGACCCTATTCTACTGGAATCATCTATTATTTATCCTTTCTGAGGGATACTGGCAATAAGAAATGTAACACCACCATAGAAAATCTCAAGAAGGATGCCAAACCGCCAAATCTGCATTTTTATTACTGTTTATTTAATAAATTAATGACAGTAGCTAAAGCATCTAGCTGCTTGCCATCCACCCCTTCTAGGCTTCACTGTCATTTTTTTCTCACTTTTGAATCTGCTCAACTGGGAATAAAAACAGTATTACTGCAATTGTCATTTTGCTTCCACCAGCAACACTCCTCACACTTTTCCCCAGCAGAGCTATAGAGCATCAGCATACACGTAAGACCAATACTTTCCTGCTTATGGGGAGAACCACCAAAAAAACCAGTGTACAAAAGCATGTAAAGTCTCCATTACAAGAGAATCCTTCAGTGAAGTAGTTCTGGTTATGTAGAAAGCTCAAAACAGCTTGAGAATAAAACCATAGGGAGAGGAGGGAGGGGAAGGAAGACACTGGCTCTCCTTAGTATTTTTCCCTCAATTTTTAGTACCACAAGTACTGCACTACCCTGAAATAATAAGTATACTAATTACAATAAATGTCTCTGTTTAGGATTAGAAAAGAACCTTCGCATTTCAGAAGCTAATTTCCCATCAGAACAAGATCATTTCAGCTACTTAGCCAGCGATGTACCTCATTTCAGCAGCACTCTCCAAAATCACATTACACAGTTACATTGCTTTCACATTGGATAATGTAATGTATTAGAGCAAATGCAGCATTGACACAAATCTGTAAATGGCCACGTTCTCCGCGGTAACACGGCAGACCGGGGCCAAAGTGAGAGAAAAGATGTTTAGGCTTCAAACCACGCCTCTCGCAGTCCAGAATAGGGGCTGCGACAGAAGGAGGAAAGAGGGTAGAAGCAGAGAACAGCGTTCGACAAAGGGAGCAGAAGAGGCGGCCACGGAGACAGAAGAGACAAGGCACGGGACGACGCCTCGGTGCGGATGGGCAAGGCCTGCTGCCCCCGCCTCCCGCTGTGGGACACGTCTCACTCCCGCCCTACCCCACC